ATAAAGTGTTCCATAATTTAGAACCTCTGATGGCAATAGAAAATTTAGTAGCCAAATAGTGTATTTTAGGTTGCTCGTAATTGTAATTTGAAAATCTTGTAGGGTACACGTGATTAATTTTATTGAAAAATGTATTAAAAATTATAGGAGTTAATTATGTAGTTTTTACATTAAAAATAAGAATTTGATAAAGGTTTAACTGAAGAACATTGAGTATGTGATGATTTTTGAATAGTTCTTTAGAATGTGCGAATTGACCTGCATTTGAAATAATCCTGACAGCGTGTTTTTGTCTACTAAGCAATTTTTTAACTTTACTTACATTAGAGCTGCACCATGCAATATTTGCATAGTTTATATAACAATGTATGAGGGAGAAATATAAGATTTTTAAGCAGTTTTGGTTTAAGATTTGCTTAGCTTTGTATAGTATGCCAATATTTTTCGAAGTTTTATTTTCAATTGTTCTTATGTGTTCTCTCCATGTCATGTTTTCGTCAAGTTTCACTCCTAAAAACTTTAATGATGACTCTCTAACTATTTTAGAGTTGCCAATGTAAAGATCAGGAAGTTTTAATGGAATATTTTTTTTATCGTGAAGTCTATGAAAAAAAGTATACTTAGTTTTATTTAAATTTAAGGACAATTTGCTTGCCTTAAACCATTCCGCTAGATTTAAAAATTCCTTGTATACTATTTTAAATAAGAGGTTGATATCTCCATTAGAATAAAATAAATTCGTATCATCTGCAAATAAAACTGAGTTTAAAATGTTTGAAAACTTTTGGAAATAGTTTACATAAATAAGAAATAAAAGTGGATCCAGAATTAAGCCTTGGGAATACCACAAGTAATAGTCAGTTTTTATTTCTTCGTGTGCTATATATTGTTTTCTATTGTTTAGATAACTTTTAAGCCATTCTAAATATTTACTTTTAATACCATAACTTTCGAGTTTTTTTATAAGAATGTTATGGTCTACTGTATCAAAAGCTTTGCTAAGATCTATAAAAACTCCTAGGGTAAACTTACTTTCATCAAATGCTTTAAATATATCGTGAACAATATTAATAATGGCATGGTCAGTTGAATACCCTGGTTGAAAACCAAATTGTTTGTTATATAAAGTATTATTTATATTTAGAAAAGTCAAAATTCGGTTATACATAATTCGCTCTAAGATTTTGGAGAAGCAAGGAAGAATTGATATTGGTCTGTAATTTTTAGGATTAAATATGTCTCCTGACTTGAAAATAGGTATGACCCTTGCAATTTTTAGTTTTTCCGGATAAATGCCTAGTTTAAAAGAGAGATTAAAAATATGTAAAAAAGGGATTGTTAAGTACTTTATTGATTTTTTAATTACATTACTACTAATATTATCAAACCCCACACTTTTGTTTAGTTTTAAAAAGTATACTGAGTCTAAGAGTTCCTTTTCAGTAACTTCATAATTATCCATCTTAGAGGTCTTATTAGGAGTAAGATATGACTCAAAGTTTACTTCAGTAGTTAGTAGGGGTTTCCCAACACTAATTAGTAGTAGCAAGCAACCACTAATTAGTGTTGGGAAACCCCTGAGGTTACAGAATAAGAAGAAGAGTGCTGTCCATCAAGGACAACTTTTATACTACGATTGGAAAGAAAGGATTCAATAATCAAGATGTTTCCAGATGCACCGTAAGAAGAAAGCTTATGGAGAAGACCAGCATGCCAAACTTTATCAAACGCTTCAGAAATGTCAAGAGCAATGGCCTTAACCTCTCCACCTTTATCTAATGCACGATAAAACCTATCGGTTATTACTGTTAGCAAATCAGCCGTAGAACGAGAAGATCGAAATCCATATTGATGATCAGAAAATAGGTTATGAGATTCAAGATGAGAGATTAAGTGTTTGTTAATTAAAGATTCAAAAACTTTGCTTATGATAGGAAGAAGACTAATGGGACGGTAGTTAGATGAACCGCATCGCTCTCCAGAACTTTCAAAAATAGGGATAACAGATGCTGTATTCCAGCAGGCTGGAAAACAAGACTCTGATAAGCACTTGTTAATTAGTTTTGAAAGGATAGACGACAGCTCCGGAGAACACTTCTGCAAGACTATAACAGGTATGTTGTCCGGGCCGCAAGCTGTAGAAGAGTCTAATCAGGAAATCACTTTAGATACAGAAGCTGGAGTGATATGGATGTCGAGCAATGGATCAACCTGTTTGACGGCTATATCAGGTAGAGCGCAACTAGTGGAGTCAAGAGATGATATTGATGAAAAGTTCTTAGCAAACAATTCAGCTTTGTCTTTAGGTGAGGTGACAAAGTCTGAACCATAGAACCATATAAAAGAGGTGAAATTACAGACTTTCTCTTATTATTGATACTATTAAAGATTCTCCAGAAGTCACGAGAGCTTAACTTTTGGGATGAAATACGAGATTTCATGATCTGAGAATAGCGGGCTTTGGCGTTAGACAAAACCTTTTTACAATGGTTCCTAGCAGTAATGAACAGACGTCTGTTTTCTGGAGAATTGTTTTGCTGATAGATATGGAAGTAAGGGTTTCGATTGGCAATTGCAGCAGCACAATGCAAGGAAAACCATGGAGAAGAGTGAGGCTTGATCTGGAATCGTCGAGAGGGAATAAAGGATTCCATGCCACCCTGAATCCACGAAGTTATGTAAGAAGCACATTTGTCAATAGGACAAAAGAAACGAAAGATTTCTACCCAGGGGCCATCACGAAGAAAATCACGGAAAGAGTCCCAGTAAGCTTTAAGGTAGTTGTAAGATGTACAATGATAGGGGGATTCTGATGATAAAGAAGAATAAGATAATAGTTTTAGAGAGACCAAACCATGATTGGAGGCACCGGTGAGGGTAAGTGTGGAGAAACTGAGCACTGACTAGGATCAGAAACAAGACATAAGTCGAGTAGAGAAGCTAAATGATTCGGGTTATCTGGAAAGCGAGTTGGAAAGTTGACTATTTGAGTTAGGGATTGAGAAAAGCAAAAGTTGTGGGCCTTAATGCCTGCAGAGTTACTGACACTAGAGCCAAGCCATTCAGTGTGATGAACATTGAAGTCACCGACAACAACAATATTGGCTGATGGATAAAGAATGAGGGCTTGGTCAATATGATCAGAAATAACATCGTAAGTGTGCAGTCGCATGCCTTCTTGCAGTCTTGAGATGAGGGAGAGCAATATAGAACAAAGAGAAAGGTGATAGAGTGAAGTGGTGCTAAACGACAGCACATAAAAGAGTAGTCTGTGGGTTCAAACCTAGTTTCAAGATAAGACAGCTGAACTTAAATTAGTCTCACAAAGAGCAAGTAGGTCTGGTAAATTTTGCAAGAGATAAGACTCAACAGAAGAAAAGTTCGAAGACCACGAATTTAGTGAATGATAGGTTTAGCGAACTTGGTGAAGAATGAGGTTTTTTGTGTTTTATAGTTTTTGATACTTTATTCATTTTTAAATTTGTTAAAGAACTTGACTCGAAACATAGATTGTACTCAGTACACTGTTTTATAGCGCAAGCAATTGCCTTATTTCTATTAACAAACCCTAAGCCGTAACAAAGGGCTCCAATGAGGCCTTTTGCAATGCACACCAAAAGTACAAACAGGGACACCATCCATGGAATCAGCCTCTCTGAGAGCTACCACAGAGCTCGGGAAACCTGACTACCAGCCGGCCTCAGAACCATAAAACTGAGTTTTAGAGCTGTACCCTCATTTGGAGATAATAGAATGAGTTGCCTAGTCATAAAAACAGAGACACAAGCAAAACCCATGCATTGAGTCAAAAAGATCCAGCGTTCAACATCCTAAACTGGAAACAATGTATTAAAAATACATCTGCGCCAGCCTAATAGATGAAGAAGGGGTGCGAGGCTGGTCAACAGATAAAATCTTTCTCAGAACAATAATGCTTTCTCAATTTTAACTCTGAACATTCGGAGAATGAGTAAAAAACTTGAAAACTTTAAAATTTTACTGCATAACCTCAAACACAATTTTAAAATTATCTGCCTTACAGAAACGTGGCTTAAAAACAATGACAAAAACGCACGTTTTGAATTAGCCAATTACGCATTAGTTCATCAATCGCGTCATAAACATTCTGGTGGTGGGGCGAGTATTTTCATTCACAACTCATTAAGTTTTATTCAGCGTAATGATCTTTGCGTGAATGAAACAGATTGTGAGTCGTTATGCATTGAAATAATAAATAAAAAGGTTAAAAACATTTCCGTAAACTCTATTTAAAGACAACCAGCTGGAAACTTAAAAAACTTCAAAGCTCACATTAAAAATTTTCTAAACCAAACCAGTAAAAATCGGAAACAAGTATACTTAGTTGGAGATTTTAACATAAACATTTTAAATTATGCATCAAAAAATGATGCTAAATTCTTTATTTGACACAATTATACAATATAATTTTATTCTAACAATAAATAAGGCAACAAGAATAACAAACACATCGTCAACATTAATCGACAACTTAATAACAAACAATTTTCACAAATGCTGCGTAAGAACAGGCATAATTAAAACCGACATACACACAGAAAGCAGATGTTGCAAAAACGCAACATAAATGTTGATTGCCGCGCAACATTCAATTTTGGCATTTGACTCCCAAACATTAATGTTGACAATTTTCAACATTAAATGTTGCGTAATTTAACGCAACATTTAATGTTGCATTTATTACAACACAAATGTTGAGAAATTTTACTTTAGGCGACTACTGCGAGAACTGCTTTGACGACATTTATTTTTTTTACTTCTGCATTTTAAGGACTGCGCGGTTCATACTTTTATCAAATTAACTCAAAATTGAATTTTAAGTAAAAGTATGAATTTAGTAATTGCGCACACGAATAAGGTGTCATTCCATAAGTGTATACGTGGGATCTTTGGTATTTCGATAGTCTTAATAATATTATTTCAAAGTAATAATGCTCGAGAATTAAATAAAAAACAAAATATAACTAAAAAATTTAATAATTTTTTTCTACTAAAATAAATAAGTAATTGTTTTTAGTTCTTTAGTACAAACTTTTAAGTCATTGCTTCCAAGAAGTCTGATAAAGCGGCACTTTTTCCGATCGAAATATTGATCTGCATGAGATGCTCAAGCAGACCATAAACTGGCTTTATTTCGTGTGGATAACTTAAATTAAACACATAAAAACACTTAAACAAAAACTCCATCGCACCACAAAAACAAGCTGCATCACGAAGTTCGATGGCCCGATCATCCAACTTGATATAATAAATTTTATTAAGACGAAAAAGTAGGGGTGGGAAGTTGTCTATGCCTGCCCATACGTTTTTTTGTAGAGAAGCAACTGCTTCAGGGACACTCATCTGTTCCTGTATAAATAAATATAAATATAGATTTATAATTTATAAGGCATTTTGAAAATAATTGCGCGACTTTTGAACGATTGAACTGTTTAAAAATTATTTAAACTTGCCTCATTCATATCCACAAACATCTGATTCGACACTACATCCCTCCCGACTCATTCTAGGAGCTTTTAAGCCTCGTTGCGGTGGTGGAATCAATATGTGCGGCAACAGCAACAACGATAACTCAGCCTTTTTGTCTAGAAAAAATAATTAAAGAATTTTTCATTTATGTAGTAATTAGGACAAGTTTAAAAAATCCTTAAAATTGCTTACCTTCATCAAATTCATTAGATTTGTACGCTCTTAACATTTGTTGCATCTTTAAGATTTTCAGAGTAAACAAGTATCTTTTGACGAAAAGATAGCATAGCAACTCGCAGAGAAAAAAATTCGCCTGCAATCGCTGCAAACTCTTTGCTAATCTAAAAATAAAGGAAGAAGAATAACAGTGTCGTTTTTTTTTGTGCAAAAATATTGTCATATTTGCCAAATTTCATGAACAATTTATGAAATTTTATGATCAGTAAAAATTATTTTAAATTTATTCTATTCCATCCATATTTATATTGAACTGTAATAATATCAGGATAACCTGACAATGACTTTGCAGAATATATGTTAACGAAATAATTTTTATTTTGTTTGGCATGTTCCATTCCACTAAGTTGCATATGAAAATATATTTACTTTATTATTGAATTTTTTATTTATAGACTTTATAGAATTTAAAAAACAAAAGCATACCAACTCGCTTACATCAAATAAACGAGGGAATCTGTTTAAAATACTAGTGGCATCAGGATTGCAAGTATTGATCCAAGCTCGTCTATGCTCTCTAGTGTTATGCATGAGCTGCACTAACTCAAATAGGTTAACCGCCGTTGGTCTACTTTCTTGAAGACGACGCTCATCATCATCAATGTTTGATAAAGGATTAGTAATGGTAACTCTAAAAAATTTAAAAAAGTATTACATACACATTTTGGTAACAAAAAAGTAACGCTAAGATTAACCCTAAAAAAAAAAACTATTTTTTCGCCAAGTCCAATGCTTTTTAATAAATGGGTCTCTGTGACGTTTTTGCCGCACATATTGGGCAAGGTAACCAGTGGCACCCTTTGCACAGTAGATCTCTTCCTTTAAAAAAAAGAAGCTAGATTATGATTAGTCTTACAATTATATAGCGTTTGAAAATGCACAACTAATTAACGTTTACATATCCGTTTGGTGTGGTTTTGGAAAATAGAACCGGAAATTCCATGACAATACTCTTTGCCAAATTTGTCATTTCTTTTGAACTAGGATCATTTTGACTAAATAGAATTGGGTAAAAAAGTTAAAATGTTATAGTCTGAAAAATTTCAAAACTAAAAAATAAAAATAAAAAAACAAACAAAAAATGATAAAAATGTTGCACTATGGCACTCGCATTAAACAATTTTTCATCAGGTATTTGCCAAGGACTTTAATCATTAACACACGTTCCGATCTTGTGTAGTAGATGCCTTGTTTCAGATTTTCAACTATTTTAGTTCCTCCCTTAGTATAGTTACATAATAACTCCTCGATAGCATAAACCTGCACAAAACTGTCACTAATGAGCTAGTTTTCTATATAACTATAACAAAAATTCATAAATGCACTTTTTTATACTATTTTGTTACATTACCTGTGACTCAACAACTACAACATCACGGGCAGGTAGTGGTAGCATTATTGCAGCTGGTGTTGATACAGATGTTGGATTCATAGTTGATGAACATTCTGTGGAAGATTGAGAATTTACTAATACAACAAAACAAAATTTTTATAACAACCTAAAATTTATGAAAACTGGCAAAGATAATTAGAAAGCACATTTTAACTAAAATTAAATTTCTACCAATAAAAAATAGGCTAAAATCGAAAATTTTATAAACTTTTATAAACAAACTATAAACTATATAAAAAAAGTACTTTTGTTAATCTAAACATAATATTTTAGTTATTATCAAAACTATATTAAAGCATTAATTATAATTTATTTTTTTACCACTTGATTTTATCCAAGACATCAAAAGCTTTCGCTCACCCATCTTTAAACCCAGCTCTCTAAGATCTTCTTCATTAAGCAAAACAAAGGAATCAAAAGTCAATCCCTCTTCTATAAGCCAAAGTTGATAAAAAAGTTACAAAATTTTGTCAATTAGGGATTTTGTCAATTATTTTATTAGTCATAATTAGTTTGACCAATTAAACTATAAATATGATTATGCATAAAATAAGTAAAGAATATTTAGACTAATTACTATATTAAAACAATATACCATGAATTCTACGCATAACTTCAGCTGATAGATCCCCCTTCACGATACCATATAAATGGTTAAAAAGAACACCTTTTTTTTTTTTGAAAAAGAAACTTAACTAAAAAATAACAAAATTATTTATAAAAACATTTCAATTTACAAAAAATTTTATGTATTTTAATATCAAACTATATCAACCAAATCCTAATAACAAACAATCAGAACACTATAAAGAATACTAAAAATAATTAATACTGTACTATATTCAATTTATGACAGTATTAAAATGATAAATTTCAAACAAAATTGTTGCTTTTGCAAATAAAAATTAAACAAAAGTATTCAGAGAAGACAAAAATTTTAAAAAGACTGCTATATTTATTTCAAAATCCAATAATAAAATTAACATTTAACACACAATATGGTAAGGAAGTCGAATAAGATTTATGTTATCTTTACCAGGTTGCAAATAATTAAAGAGGGGATTATGGTCACACAAGCTATCAATGGATATTCAAACAAGTTCTGCATGTAAACTCTGAGATATGACATAAGCGTGAAAATGACTACAAAAATATTCTGTAATGCATAGATGCAGCACAATGTACCATTTATCAGTATAAGGTAAACTAACAAATGATACCAACTCTCCAAATACTGGATCGCGATTTATTCTGCGACCAATCACAAAGCAATGGCCTTTGCGATATAAAATAGAATCAACATTCAATTTCAATGCTAAACAAATAACTTCTGTCTTTTCTATACCAAGTTCAATGCAAATACATTCATAGTAAGTACCAGCAAGATTTACAACCATAAATTCCGATTTATTACCTACGGTGATAATAGTTCTCAAATATAGTTTTGAAAAGCGAGAGTAAAATGAGTTACACTGATGGAGATAAGCTAAAGTCTTGCAAATATTAACAAAGTTGCAAACTAATTTGCAGATCTTTTAAAAAATGAACTTTTCATCTCATATCGAAGACAACTCATTCCAACAAGAGGTCCATTTTTTATAATTGTGGGAAAATGGACCAGAAAGTGATGTTTGGGACGCAACTTTGCTACTTGTCCAAACAGATCCTTAAAACCTGATAGATGATCCAATATAAAGACTCTTAAATATGCTATCATTCCTTTGGTAAATTTAGGAGCAAATATTAAATCCACAAGTTCACATAAATTTAACAAAAAAATCCAGCAACCATCATCTTCAGGTACAAATCGACCAACAATCATAGGTAAATACTTAAGCAAAGACCACATTTGAACAGCCTTCATTGAAGGTGAAAGTCCTCTGCCTGGTTTCTCAATTTGGCAAATTGTGAGTGGTCGTTTAGATTTTTCAACTGAATTTCGATCAAAAAATTGATGCAACTATTTAAATCTGATAGCGAGAAATAATGTTTGATTTTGATTAAATGGTAAAGAATGTAACCAAGTTCAAAAGGTACAACACCTTCTAGTAGTGTATGCATTGGATCAAGAACAAAGTTTTCAACAACATGAAATCCAGGAATTTTATTTAAGGAGCAAGTTGCTTTGACACCATGGCTATGAGTTCCTAAAGCAAGGGTTTCTAATGTTTTCAGATCATTATTATAAGAAGCTATTGTTCTCATTTCGAAATCAGACTCATATGTTTTAGTTTGAATGGTTTTTTTGGTTGCTAAACAGAGAGTGCAAAAGAAATCTGCAGAAAAGCATTCAATGAAGCCAAACAACCCATTGAGAGCAAGAATATCGCAAGACACCTGGTAAAGACCAACATAAATTTGTTTAGAACCAATTTTTGGAAAGTCCCCACAAAAGCCAATGGATTGTAGTTTTTGTATTTCACTTACAAAGCGTTCTAAAATATTGTTGTAGCCATAAACTTTCAAATCTTGACTATAACAAAGCGCCAATAGATGTATATTAGCATAACAAGAGTTATGACTCGGAGGCAAATTTTAAATAGTATAATAGAAAACACCAACATTACTGGTTGATGCATTTCCACGAAGAGGATTTGTTGTACCCATACCATCATAGAATAACTGAATCATGATAGAAAATTTATTATCGTTACTAAATAAGTAATGCTTTTTACAGCGTTCTCCATCTTGAAAACAGTCAATTAAATCATTGTCTTTAGTTTTATTACCAAACATCAATTCAACAAATTCTTTACTACTAAATAAGCTACGAAGATTGTTTTCAATTGACACATATTCATAGGTGTCATAGATTAATTTATTGAGTCCATTTTTAACCTCATACCTAGTACCAATTGGAAGTGTTTCAGAATTAACAAAAAGAGGATGTTCAGCAAAATATTTATCTTGCTTGTATTTTGTAGAAAGAAATTCAAGAGGATTACGAACCTTGTTAAATACTTCTTCAATATTATTTACAACATCTTGGTGAATATTTGGCACACACTTTAACAACTCCTGGACTTGTTCATTTAAGTAATCTGCTAAACAGTCAGTCGTGTGATTGAAGGATGGAATGACACATGAGATTATATTATTTGGCAAACCACTGTTTGATCTCAGAGAAGATACTAAAGAAACTGCCTCAGTATGAATGTCTGAAAGTTTGCATCGCTTATTTTGATCTTCTCTTCCATAATTACAATCGTCGTCATTATTGCATAAAGTGTTGCTATTAATGACAGAGACACAAACATCTTTCTCGCAATGTGACTGATTGTGATACTTATCCATGTGTCTTTTGAGGTTCCATAAATTGCGAAATGAACTAGTACACTTATCTTGACAACATCGAACAGGCATTCTTAATTCACCAGCGGCTTCATGATTACGTAGATGACAGTGTAGCTCTTTAACTTTAAAAAATAATTCTTTGCATAAATGGCATTGATACATTGAATAAAATTATGCAAGAATTTTTCGATGAAAAAAATAGTTGTTTTACTCCAAACCATGCGCCTCGTGAACTTATTAGAAAACCGAGCGCTTTTTATTATACAAAATGGCAGTGTACTTCGTTATCTCAACAACTAATGTTGTGTTTTATTTTTCAACGAAATTTACTGTTCAAAAACCCGTTTCTCAACATCGATGTTGCATTGTAATCAACATTTTATTTTGAAAATTAAAAGCAACATTTTTTGTTGAGCGGTTTCGCAACATTTGTTTTCTGTGTCTAAGTGATCATTTTCCTATCTTTCTAACCACTAAAAACATAACATTAAAAAACAATTCCATAAAATCAAAAATATTGGTCCGTCAAATCAATGAAAACTCCTTAGCACATTTTCGCCATTTATTACAAAATTCTGTTGATTGGAACTTAGTGTATGAAATACAAAATGCAAATAATGCTTATGATTTATTACTCGCGTTTTTTAGTGAACAATATAATAAGGCATTTCCTTTAATAGAACAAAATTTAAATTCTAAGTCTATTTTAAATCCGTGGATGACAAAAAGTTTAATCAAATCTTCAAAGAAAAAACAAAAACTATATGAAAAATATCTACGACATAAAACATATCATAATGAAATAATATACAAAAACTACAAAAATTTGTTTGAAAAAACCAAAAGGTTTTCAAAAAAATCTTATTATGAAAAGCTATTGGAAAAAAGTAATGGAAATACACGCTTAAAAATAGTGTGGACAAAAAACACGACACTTAATGTGGCGTCTTTTTGGCTACACAAGTTGTGTACTTCAAGGCTACACTTGTGCGCTTTAAAGCCACACTTGTAATTATGAAATTAAACTTCATTATATGCGTAAAAAAAACCACACTTTGTGTTGCACTTTCTTGGATTCTCGTATCGAATTATTTGGAAAAGAGGCTAGAATCATGTTTTTAGCTACATGTTTTTTTTTATGAACCATTTACAATTTTACTGAAAATTTCAGTGTAACTTTTATTGCTGCATGGTAATTTTAAACACATACATGGTTAACTTTTTCATAAAGAAATATTTGGTTTGTAATATTTTAGTAATATCGTATTAAATATGTTAAGCGAGGAAAATATTGATTTTCAGTTGTTAAAAATTAGGTAAGACCTTCGGTTTGTAGTACATTACTACATGAATTAGTTGTGTGACTTTATTTAATTAGACTAATGTTATTATTTTATATATATTGTATTAAAATGTTAATACAATTATTTTAGTTACGTTAACAACATTATTATGAAGTTATAAAAATTATAACATAATAACATTAGTTATATAAAATAATAACATTAGTCTAAAAATAATGTGTAAAATATAGGTTTAAATAAAATCACATGACATTACCAGTTAACTGGTAATCTGTTAACATAACACAAGTAATGTTGTTAACATAACTGTTAATAATGTTGTTAAATAATATTGTTAACATTAAACGTTAATGTTAATGTTATTAAGGTTAATTTTTTTATGTTATAAATAATGGAAAATATTTAATACATAAATATTATTGAATAAATATGATAATGGTGTTATTTTAGTTAAAATAGCAGCATTTTAGTTATATTAACAACAACTATTTTAGTTATCATATGTTAACAACTAGATATATATATATACCATAAAGGTATACTTTACATTATGTACATATCTTTTTTTTGCTAAGATACCTAATAAAAATCATTATAGCATGATATATCATTCAATAATGATTTTTATTAGTTATGATTATGATTTTTAGTCATGTTGCATGTTGAAATAATGTATTAAATAATTTTATCATACCTATGAAAGCACTCTAATAAAATTATATTAATATATGCAATAAATGCACAACTATGATTTATAGTGCTATAATATGTGTATATTGTGTATATATATATATATATATATATATATATATATATATATATATATATATATATATATATATATATATATATATATATATATATATTTTTTTTTTTTTTTTTTTTTTTTTTTTCTGATAAAAGTTATTAAAATGTTTATTTGCTATATATGTGGTACTTTTACAAAACTATTGATTTTTTTTCAAAATCATCTACAACGTCATAATAGTATTGGCGAAATTGTTTATCCAATTAAATGTTTACGGAATGGCTGTAAATGTACCTGTACAGCTTATATGTTGCTAATTAGACGTGTAAAATGTTACCATAATACTGATAATGATTTCATTGATAAAAATCCTGAGCCAAAATATATAGTAATCCATTAAATGATAATCGTAACAATTTATTGGCTAATTTTTCAGAATATTCATTGCCTAGTTTCCCAGAAAATTCTACTTATCAAGTTTACACTTATCCTGAAAAAACAATAGAATATATTGATCCTTTGTTAGTTTCTTCATTGTGAACAAGCAGCAGTGTTCCTTATTACATTATACCTGAAGTAATTGTTTCTGTTAACAGTAATTTCATAATCATTAGTTTCCTATATTGCAGCGCTCAAATAGTTTTTCAAAGCTTGCCAATCAAATGTAATTATTTCACAAAAAAAGGTTTTCCTTGAATTTTTCGAAATTTCTTCAAACATTGCTGATCATTGATCGGCTGTTATTTCGAGCAATGATATTGGCGATGCTGCTTTATCAGTTTTCAATGACATTAGAGCAGATTCCACTCTATTGTTTAAGAGTAAGTTTGAAAGTAGTGTTATACATTGCAATGAGCCACTCAAGTTTCTTGACACATTTTATAAACAAGATAAACACTTAGAAAAAACTTCTCTTTTTGTAACTTCTGAAACATGCAACATGGGCCCTTCTAGATATGAAAATAATGAGGGAATTTCAAAGATAGTTTAATTTCATTGAAGAGGTATCAAGTAATATTACATTGCATGATGGCTTTATTACTTGCAAACAAAACATTTTGTTACTAGCAAGAGATTCAATGTTCAAAAATACTTTGTCAGAAGACTAATATAATGGAGGTATATATATGTCTACTACCCTAAGTGGGGAGAATGAATAAATAAGAACTTTATAACTTAAATAAGAATTTTTACAACATAATTGTCAATCTGCATAAGTACTAAGCTGCTGCAACTTGACTATGTGCTAATCTGAAAAAGTACGAAGTTTCTCTTTCTCATCTTATTTCATTTATTAGTTCCTTATGTATACCCTTTTAATCCAAAAGAAGGTTTTTTTTATAATCTACCTATAAAGGTTTATAAGTATATACAAGTTGTTTCCTGATTTATTTTTATTTTTATTTAGAAGATGCAACTTTGCTTACATTTAAGGCGCTCCCTTTTCTTATGATAGCACCTCTACAGAAAGGCAAGAAGAGTCCAAGAATGGATCTTAATGCAATTTTGGCTTTATTTTATAGAGAAATGGATGTAAGTTTTTTCTATGCATTTTTTTTTAAAGTTAAATTTGGTTTATAATCAAAAAGTATTACTTTTTTGAGCTTTGTATTTTCTGCATTTTTAAAATTTTACTTAAACATTTAGGTACACCTCAGTTTTGAAAGCTCCCTTGAGTTATTGAAGAAGGAGAAAGTTTTTCTACTGATTTTATTCAAATGTTGCGGCACTCTATAATTCAAATTATAACTCTAATTATAAGTCGATAATACAGCTATACGGTTGGAAGCCATACCGAGTATTAGATTTGCTTTTGAGTTGCTGCTAGTCTCTTATTATGTATTTAATGTCAATTTTCCTCATGAACTTATTTGTGTATATGGATTTATGGGAAATTTGCTTGGAATAAACAGCAAAAGAATTATCGTCAATTCCTTTTAAAGAAAGTATTGCCAAAAGTTTAAGCAATATGTTTGTGAAACGAAAAAGTATTTTTATCACTTTCTTGTTTATTTTTGTTATATCGTCAGCCGAGAACCAAGAGGCCGTATGTTTTTTTTTGTGTTTCCAAGAAAATCAAGTTTTAAATTTTAATTCGCGAAGACTTTCTTCCAGAAAATTCGACTGATTATTTAAATATTTCCTAAAATTTTATTGTTGTGGTATATTTATGGAACACATACTCTTGAATATTTATTGATAATGGACAAAAAAAAAAAAAATGTTGACATACGGTTCTTCTCTGACGGCGGTATCTATTTTTCAAAGTTTTAACTCGCTTTTGCATATAAATGTTTTAAGACTTGTCTTTAATTTAATATTCACTGAATTGAGTTTGAACTGAGTTTATATACTTAAAAGAAATACTATAACAATGCATTGACTCGGAATTTAAATAAAATTTATATTTCAGTTTTTATTATTTTATTGTGATGTCGTTCCGTCATTTCTTATAAGCCAATATAATATACATGTGTAATTTAGTATATGACTCTAAATGACAATGTGTAATTTAGTATATGATATAAATAGCATTCTTAATTTGAATTATTTAATTGCGCCCGGTTATATACATAGTACGTGAAGACCTAAATGGGCGGAATAAATCACGCATAAATATACTTACAAAAAATCAAAACATTTTTAACGTCTAGAAAAACACAGATTAGTGTATAAACTATAGTGTTACATTTAGCGCAACACTAATTTTGAGGTTTTTTTACAACAGTTTTGTCGCACAAAAAAAGCGTATATATACAGCCATTGATTAAATGCAACAATTATGTCGAAAAAATTTCTACAAAAGTGTCGCATTAAAGGCCACAAAGTGTGGCTTTCGAGTCTACATTTTATGTAGCCTTACGAATGCAACACTGAGTGTGGCTTTTAAAGCCACATAGTGTTGGTGTAGCCAGCGTCGACACTCATTGTTGTATTCTACGCGACATAATGTAGCCTACAGCTCAACACTATTTTTAAGCGTGTACAAAAAAAACTTGGAATATAATAAAAGAAATAATTGGCAAAAATATTTCGATTAAAAACAATTTGCCACAAAAACTGTTAATTGATGAAAAAGTTGTTTATGATAAAGAAAACATAGCTGACAA